GTAGTCGATATTTATAGATATTAAGTTGATAAGGAGAATTAGTCCAAATCTTCAACAAACTTGAATACATTACATTCTAATTTTCCAACTCAATCTCTGGCTACGACAGTCTCTAAGATCGACTCATTTATCAAAAGAGATTCACTAAAGGACTCGACTCGACTGTTGCGGCTGATCAGGTACTGCAATATACCCCATTATTGGTCACTTATAATGGCTACAGGGTATACAAAACTCAAGATTGAATAACAAATTGTATGGCAAATTATTGTGTATGGTAGCTGCATGTACATTGTTGTCGTAATTGTTGTAGTTGTTGTAGTTATTGTTGCTGCTGCTGCTACTTTTTTTATAGCTCCTTTCACTCCAATTGTGGACGTCAGTTGAGGCTGGCACAAAAACGAATGCGCCTCAATCAGAGAATTTTAATTATTATTTTCAATTATCGAAAATGGTTTTGCGTCTGTTTCAATATGCCGCATATATATATATATATATATATATACATATTATTTTCTTATTCTCCCTTTGTCGTTTTGGGGCTTTTCAAGTGTTTTGCTGGGGCGTCTGTTTGCATTTTGTACCCCCAAGCCGCCCCCCTCGAAGTGTATCTGTATCCGTGTATCTGTGTATCTGTATCTGCTGCTATTGTTGAGGCGTTGCTCGTAATTAGGGGGCGTTTCAATTGCGGCATATGGTTTTATTTTAATTAAATTTCTTGTCGAGATAAGCGCTTCGGTACACCCAAAACCGCAGCCACAGCTGGCCCTTCAGTTCGCGGCTGAGCGTGGCTTTTTAGACCCCAACTAGTATTTGTTTTTTTTTTATGTGTTGGCTTCTTCTAATGTCCGACGACAAGGGCAATGAGTACTTTTCGAGTGCTCAGTTTTGTTTTGTTAAGCACACACAAAAATCGGAGCCAAACAAATCCGCTGAAATACGATCGAGAGTGGAAACAACTGAAGCTTTTAGCGTGTAGCTGCAAAAGCCACAAAGCTGTTAACTGATAAATTAAACAACTGTCGCCGGGCTCTGAAACGCGAAACAATAATAAACAAACAAGTCAGGCAATACAGTATACAGCAGTAGTAAAAAGCTCAGATACATAAGCCCAACTCTGCCATATTCCTATATAGAAGCACACACGATTTTTATCAGCTTCGACGAGCGCAAATTGCATTGGCCAAAAGGCACAAACACAATGCAAAACTCCAAACTCAACAACAACAAAAATCAAAATAAAACCAAATTACTCGAAATGATTCGCTGTGATGCGCTCTTTTGTGTATCTGTGAGATACTCGTGATCAGGTGGCGGCTGTGATCAGCGCCGCTTAGCACGCGTCATTTGATGAGACCCCCAATTTATGGCTTAGATACACTGCACTACGAAACGAGCTTAAGGCTGATACCGAAAGCTATGCGACGGTCTATAAACTAATGTGGGTTTTCTTTTCTATATAAGTAAAGATCTTTATGGTCAGTTATTGATAATGGGAAGAAATGCTGATATATGTGTTGATAAAAAGGGAACAAAAAAAGACGATATTTTATCACATGTTATCAAAAAAAATTATTATATTTAAACATTATTCAACCTAACACATTTTTATATTAATTTCAATGTACATTTTAATTTCATTTGAAGGATCTCAGGCTTGGAATATGAGATATACAAATATATTTAAGTAAAGATCCATAGAGCAGTTGTCATAGGACTTTACCTATAGTTTAAAAGCTATCCATAGGAATCTAGTTTAGTAAGACCTGTGGATATCTTTTTTAAAGATTTTAAGCAATAAATTTGCTCTTCTTCATCTTATTACAATTCCAATATTATATAATCTCCATATATAATCTACGTAATAAGGTTCTTCTCATATTGTCAATTGAAACTTTATGGTTGATTTAAAAAAATCTTGCTCTTACTGCATTTAATTATTCCTCACAATAATTTCTGAGCAAATTCTTGTGGTACATAGAGTATAACAAATTCGCATTTGCATTTTGTGTGTGTGTGTGTAGAGTGTGTGGTTTTTCATTTTGTCGCAAATGCCATTTAGCCGAAACGAAAAATGCCAAAACTAAAAGGCAACAATAATAATGATAATTTTGTATTCGTATTCGTATTCGTATGTTCGAATGTCGGATGCCGCGCCATGCGGTTGGGCACTGCCAGCAGCACATCGTGAACTGAGTACACAATGGCTAAAGTACACACACACACACACACACATGCAACAACTACAACTGTGACAAAAACAAAAAGCTAAAGAAACAAAAAATGAGAAGAAAAAAAAAGTAAAATCAAGTAAAATAAACCGCACGACAGCGCAAAACGGCAGCGAAAAAAACGCGAAGCTAGCAGTTTGTCACTCAATCGCCCCGCAATCAGTCGCGTTTTTTATTTGTCGTCGGTCTGCGGCATAGAACGCCGCCGAAGATACACGCGCATATCTCTGTATCTCATAGATACATTGGCAGTTACCACAAAGCGAGACGTGCGCGTCGCTGCAAGTCGCTTGAGCTGCGCACGCGCGTCTTCAACTCGAAGTGTCAAAATGTATCTATCGCATTAATTGTATCTGACAGATACAAAACCAAAATAAGAAAAAATATTGCTCTGCAATGCCAACTATGCAGCATTGTTGTTGTTGTTGTTATTGTAAAATGCACATGTAGAAAAAAGACTTTAAGTACAGTGAAGCTAGCGAAAGAAATTCGTATTTTAGGTTCATCTGTCTAAGGCTATTGTATCTGTAAGATGCAGATAAATTTAATGCATATAATTATTGTACTCCTTCTTAAATTTGTATTTCTTCGTGTATTGAAAACAACAAGCACAAAGACCCAGCTGTACAGTGAAGCTTGCCTGACAAGTTTTCGTTAGGCTTTTATCACAGGCACTAGAAAGGGGAAGCCCATTGAGGAGAATTAGATAGCTGCTTTTGAAACTCTTTCGCTAAATGCACAGTGAAGCTTGCCTAACCATGTTAGGCATTTACAACTTTACTTTGCCAGAAAACTATAATTAAGCCTAATTTGCATAGACAGTTATGACTGTAGTGAGCATACACAATGAGAAACCACATCAATACAGTGAAGCTTGGCTTACAGACCTATTCGCAATTGCCTTTAAGTAAAAGTCACTAAGTCAGTTATTACTGTATTTACATTAAATGCAGCGTTGCTTGTTTAGCAAACTTGCAAAGAACTTTTTTAAAGCTAATCGAATAAGTAAATAAGTACGGTAAAGCTTGCTTTGCCAGTTCCCTTTTGAGCGCAACTTGCTTAGGCAGTCATCACTGTACTTGCTATAAAAGCTAAGGCTTTGATTTTTAGGCGATTGCCCCTGTTGTACCATCTCACTCGATGATTAAATTAAAGTACAGTGAACCTTGCTTAGTAGAATGTTGTAAGCTGCATTTGCTATCAACGTTCCTAGGCATTTATTACTGTAGCTGTCTTGTACTTGTTGTTGTTAAGTGACAATAAAGTGCAAAACAATTTGGAAAGCTCCTACAATTCCACTTAGGCAGTTAGCACTGTGGTTGCCATGCACGCGCTGAGCTAGAAGTGCAGTAAAAATGTTGTTTGCAAAACTTAAGTGTATATTAACCCACCTAGGCAGTCATCACTGTTGCTGTTGATAAACCCTATTTACCTGGACTGAATATGCATGTAGAAACGTGTCGAATGTATTTAAATAAATTTGCTGTACAGGCACAGCAACAGCAACAGCTGATTCGTTACAGAGAACAATAGCTAAACAACAATGCATCCAATAGTTCTCGCTCTCTCTCTCACGCTGTATATATTTATATATATATACGACATATTTGTACAAAAGTTAAACCGATTTCCGATCCAGTTGGTAACGCTTGAATGCCGCAGTCTGTTCGGGGTGTGCCCCAAACAGAAACACAAACACAAATACAAATACAAATACCCAGAGAGAGCATCATAAATGCTGGCATCTTCACGATCTGAGAGCCCGAACTCATACCTGAGCAATATGGGTACGTGCGTAAAGTCTAGCTCAAGGTCGCCATGGACTGCGCCCTAAGTTCCATATATATATACATATAGAGAGTGTATATAGTAGACATATCTATGTACTTTGCTATGATACAATACGGGAAATTTGTTGACTAGCCGCGAGTGCCGCATTTGTGCAAATATTAAAAGATGCCTTAGGCAAACAACTAGCACAAGTGTCATTAAATTGAAAACATCTATAAGAAAAGGCCACGCAATGGCTCTAGATGTGTGTGTTTTCCCTCACATATATCATTTTAAAACAGATCCAGAGAGTGAGTGGGAGAGAGAGAGAGGGAGAAAAGAGACATCACGTAATGGATTTCTTGGCGTCAGCATGAAAATGAATCACTTGGCCGTAAGCAAAGTAAATTCCAATTGAAAATAATCAGTCGGTTAGCTGACTTTTCTGGCTGGGCCGGGTAGACGAGGGCTACAAATGCGTATTGCCCGGCAACAAACGGAAATTGTCAGTTGTCAATTTTTTGAGAACAGCACCAACAACAACAACAACAAACAACACAACAAAGGTGTGCGGCATATTAAATACAAAATGTCAACAGCTCGTCAACCCAAAAGCGTAAACCCAAAAATACTTATACACATTATGTATATGTAAATGCATATCTATGTATATCTGAACATAAATGCCCAGCTAAGAGAGTGCACATTAAAAAAAGGGCAAAACAATTTTGTTAAAAATGCTTAAGGCAGTTTTTTCAATATTTTTGGAGGAAAAATCCCAATCATAAAATATTTAGTTATGATATTTCTTCATTATGTGAACTATTAATTCTGTATATTGTATAGGTATGGTATCTATTGTAGTATCAATCTGATTCGTAAGGTAAACATTCTTAGGCATTAGTCAAATTCCCTTTATATAGACTTCACAATCTTCAAAAACTCTTATTCTTATATTATTCTTTCCTATATAATATATTATATTTTCTCTCTACTTACCTGGAAGGCCATCTTCTCAAATATTTGATGTAAAGATATACAGATATACTCCTCAATCCTTAAATCAATAACTCTCCCGAGGATGTTGTCTCTAGAATAAATAATAAATAAATATATTACAATAAAGATAGTAAAAGCATAATTGTATAATTTTCTATGCGCCTTAATTAGAACTTTGTTTGAAAGACTTAAGATAAATATATCAAAAACATAATTGCGGCTCTCTAGTCTAGACCATCTATTAAAACTTTGTCACGTCAATGTAATCAATATTAGTTTTTGACAACTTATAAGAAAAACCCTACCCATATCTATTGGTCATGTAATTAGTTTTTCGTCTCTCTCTCTCTATCTCTCTCTCTCTCTCTCTCTCTCTCTCTCTCTCTCTCTCTCTCTCTCTCTCTCTCTCTCTCCCTCTCTCTCTCCCTCTCTCTCTCTCCCTCTCTCTCTCTCCCTCTCTCTGTCTCCCTCTCTCTGTCTCCCTCTCTCTGTCTCCCTCTCTCTGTCTCCCTCTCTCTGTCTCCCTCTCTCTGTCTCCCTCTCTCTGTCTCCCTCTCTCTGTCTCCCTCTCTCTCTCTCTGTCTCCCCCTCTCTCTCTCTCTATCTGTCTCCCCCTCTCTCTCTCTTTTCCTCCCTCCCTCTCTTCTCTTCACCTCTCTCACTCTATATAACTGTTGTTTTTTAACATGCTTCAAATGCTTCAGTTTATAATGAAAACGCGTCGCTTTACGCTCTAAAAATTTTCAGATACCCGTACATTAACCAAAGTTCAGAGTGTAAATGTGAAGTTTATGAAGTTTATGCGATAATTGTTGTAGTAGCAATAACAACAACAACAAAAAACACTAAAGCAGAAGCAAAAGTCAAGATAAAGTACAAAAAAAAGCACAAAGTGTAAAGTCGCAGATACTTAAATATAGATGATATCCAGACCGAGGTGGCTCAAGTCAAAGTACTATGGTAATTAGGCTAATCAGTTCTAACCGAGGCTTATGCAACCCTGAGCTAATTTCTAAGCGCAGCAATTGGAAAAAATATACAAAAAAAACAAAAAAAACACTTTTCTAATATAGTCGCAGTCGTGTGTTGACCGAGTTGACAAATTGGTTAGTTGGCAGCGTGCAGCGAGGCGTAACTAAAAAATAATAATAATAATAATAAATGATTACAAAACAAGTCAAATGGCAGCAGTTGCAACATTGCCACACGCCGCATGCCACATGCCGCATTATGCTATTATACACATGCATATATGATTGCAGCAGCAAATCAATTGCATTTACATGCTGCAATCACTTGTGAACGATGTGTGGCAATATGCACTTCACTTGCAACAAGGCTCAAGCCCCAAAAATACAAAATGCGTTCCAACAATATTTGCACTTTCTTCGTAGAGCTTCATGTACTCTACTATATAGGCATATGTATATACGTGTATAAGCATATGAGTTTCGTTTATTTACGCATATTTATGTCTATATGTTGACCAAGTACAAACAACATGGACCATCAGCAATAACAACAACAACAACAGCAACTAGAAGAAGAGGCAGTCTGTCAATAGACTGGCAAACGTCAATTTAGCTGGGCCACAAGAAATTGAAAATAGACAGACCCGACAAGTTGTGGAAAGCATAGAAATGAATAGAAAATGAAAATAAATAGAAAATAGTTGACATGGAAATATACTTCAGTATCCCAATGAACGCATCAATATATTTAAAGACAAACAATAACAATCGATTGTCACATGAAAAATATCGAATTGTTAAGATTTATGGACATATGTTTCGCAGTTTTTAGGTTTATCAACCCCAATTCTTATTTGCATAGCTGCCATGTGTTAATCAACTCAAGAGAATTGTCAAAAACAGCTAAAATTGTTGTAAACATTTGTTAATGCTGGAAAAGAAATCGATAAGTGCGATGAAAATATCGATAATATGAGAGCGGCGCTTCTCTATGAACTCTGTCGCTAAGTTCTGTCAAAATGTTTTAAGAAAAACGAAATTGTTCGAAGATAAACGAAATTGTTTTATGAAAGACAAGGAAAGAAAGATTTCTCCAATAGTTTTTTGCTTATTTTAAACCTATTGATAATATAAAAATGCACTTTTCTATAATCAAAGCCGAACCATTAAAAAGTAAAAGAAGGTTTTGAGCAATAGTTTTCCATTTTACAAAGTGAATAAAACACTTAATCATTAAGAAATTAATTAAATATGTGTATCACAGCTCCACAAGGAAAGAATGTGTTGAATCATTTTCCCAGCTCATAATCCCAACAATTTAGTTATCATGTCTCAGGTCGGTAAACAAATGTAGACAATGTCTAAACAAAGAACATCTTTGTATTCCAATGAATTTCAAAGATGATCCTCTATATTATAGAGAATAAATGTTATTACTCTGAGCTATTAAAATGGCATATTATGATCGAGTCAGCTTTCTCTTCTTGATATTTTAGTTAGAGAGAATTTCACATAGTAATAAACCAACTGCGACTTTACTTGCTGTAGTTGTTATTGTTGTTGTTGTTGTAAATAAATAAGCTTAAAATTTCACAATTCATTTAGTGTTATGTGTCGACAGTTGTTTAGTTTCGGTTTCGGATTCCGCAGCTAGACAGACACGCCCCTACACAAACAGACACCCGCCCCTCCCTTATACATAGGCCTGGGTTATACAAGCACAGACGTTCGTTTCTTTGCAGCTATTTTCAAGCTGATTAGAGTCAGGTGTCATATTATGTACCTAAATGCTATATATTGCTGTTTATAGGGAGAGTTAGAGAGAGGTGTTTACCTATGGGCGTGGCATTTGTGAAATTCGCTTTGGCCTGAAACAGTTGCCTGGAAAGTTCGGTTTGTTTAGCTGCTGCTACGTTTAATAGTTTTTTATACTTAATTTTTATTGAAATTTTTATTTGCTGGTTGGCTATTTTTGAAGTGCAATACGAAAAAAGTGCACATAAAAATTGTTGAGGCGAAAGCCCTCTCGAACAAGGCAACAAAATCATTTCATGAGCTGGCTCCTAACTGGCATTAAATGCAAAATCAAATAACTGTGCTATGTGATCCCCATAATAAGCTTAATAACAATTGCAAATATCGTTCGTGTGTGTGCGTAATATGTATGTACATATATACATATTTGTATGTGGCATGCCTGGCACATTAACGCTCGATATGATGCGACGATATGCAGCAAATTGAAAGTAAATAAAAAATAATAACAATCGTAAAGAAAGAGCAGAAATAAAAAAAATATACGTTATTACAAAAGCAAACGGGCCAATATGGCAAATTAATTAGTTATACAAAAATGGCAGACCATGAAAAAAGTTTGCGACAACAACAACAAAGTTTTATAATAAGAATGCAACACGCGCGGCGTATTAAAAATAAATTACAAAAATAAAAAAACAAATGTATGAACATATTTTGTTTTTTATTTATGGCAAATAAAATTCAAATTATGCACAAGTGAATAATTGTGGCATTTTTTTTTATAATGGCAGCTCATACTAAATAAATAGAAACATGTTTACATAAACTACATGAATGTATTTATTAAAAAGAAAAAATAATAATAATAATATAGCTTGCATTTTAATATAGCCCAAGAGGCTCATAAAAACAAGTTGCCCTTCTGTGTGTGTGTGTGTGAGCGCGCGTGTGTGTGTGTGGCGCCAAGTACGGCCACATAAATATGAAAAATCCAAATACAAATATCATGGAATGCAGCATTGGCTTAAACAACAACAACAACAACAACAGCAAGAGTACCAACAACAACAACAGCAGCAACGGCGGCAGCCTCACAGCGTCCAATATCAACGGAAACGGAAATGGCAATGTTAGTGAGCTGCAGCTGCGCCCTCTATCGTCCAAAACAGCGCTAACAACATGTGCAACATCAGCAACAGTCCAGCCCAACAACAACAACAATAACAATAACAGCAACAGCAACAGCAACAACAAATTGTGCGGCTCCGGCATGTCGCCGCACTCGCCACCCCCGCAGCAGCAGCAGCAGCAGCAGCCCACAAACATGGCCATAAATGGCCATCAGTCGTATCCGGCGATAACGGCAACGTATTGGCTGCCGCCACCAAATCCGGCGCCATATTTAGTTCCAGGTAATTAGTGTTACTTGCAGCCATAGCCGAAAGCCCCATCTCGGGCTTACACTAACTCCAGCTACAGTCGTCAACCCCCCTCCCTCCCTCCGCTTGCCTTCCGCAACGAGTTGCCTGTTCCGAAATGTTGCAAATTATATTTTCGTGTTTATTGTAAAGCTCGCGAGGATTACACTGAGCAAAATGTTGTTGTGCTTTGTGAGCAAATTAAATACACACATTGTCAGAACATATTCAAGCTTTCAATTTCTCAAGCTAAGCATTAAACTCTTTTTTTAAGAACATTCTCCTTAAATCTGAAAAGTATGTTGAGCACAACAGGTATATTCTCAATTTAAGAAGTTTTTAACTTCCATTCAAACTGTTTTAGGCTTAGTTTAAGTCAATTTGAAACCGTAGATGCTTAATTTAAGAAATTTAAATAATGAAATCTAGAATGATTTATACTTTTCTCAAGTAGGCTAATTCATGTTTAAAGTTGGTTTATTTTTGTTAATTTTCAATAAAGGTCAATTCGTACTTAATTCAGAAAATGTTTAAAATTTAAGTATACAAATTGTTGTTTAAACTTTAAAGTCATTTTACTTGTTTCAAGGATGTAAATTCTTGTTCAAAGTTTTCTTCCTTACCCTTAATCCTTAATCCAGGTCAATTCGTACTTAATTGAGAAATATTTAAGAACGAAATGTACTTCTAATATGAAGCATGTAATATTTAAATTCTTATTTAAAGTTAGTTTACTTTTTTCAAGTATATGAATTCTTGATTCCTTTACACTTTTTCTTATTTAATCGAGGTTAATTCTTACTTAATTGGTCGATATTTAAAAACGAGATGTGCTTTAACTTTTAAACACAAAATGAACTCGAGCTGAAATGTACTAGAATTTCGAACAGCACTTTTTCTCTGAGTGTACAAAACACGGCATGAAGGGGCACAAGGAGCAGCCAG